GCCTCCCCACCCTCTCCGGGAAGAATTCCTTCCCGATATCCCATCTCCATCTCCCTCTTCCCGTTTAAACCCGTCACCCCTTGTCCTGTCATTCCCTGCCCTTGGGAAAAGCCCCTCCCAGCTTTCCTGCCACCTGGACTTCAGGGGGAGTTGTGCACATTGCAGCCTGTGCTGTCTGGAATTTATAGTAACGGGACGTGCCTCGCTGGGAGCGTTTCTCTTGGACTAGCAGATCTGCCCTGAGGTAGCCATGCCCCAGCTGGAGTGAGGATGGCCCCAGGCCTCGCGCTTCAGCGAAGCTTGGCAGGTTTTTTCTTGGTTTCTCTGGGAGTCCTACTCAAGGGATGTTTTTGTGAAGGCTCCTCGTGTTCTCTCTCTGCAGACCCAGCTCACGATGGCTTCAGCAGGGCTGGGGTTCTGGTGCCACGGAGCTGGTGTGGCACTGGGAACCTGTGGAAGACGCTGGGCTGTTGCGTACGCCGCGTTCTTCAGCATTTGTGACTGCTCACATCGTAACTGGCGTGTTTGGTTTCCCTTTCAGCTCCGCCAGGAAAATACCCAAACGGCTTCAGAGACGTGCTGAGGGAGCTTATCCGGGAGGAGGGAGTCGTGTCTCTGTACAAGGGCTTCACAGCCGTGATGATCAGGGCGTTTCCCGCCAACGCGGTGAGTGGACTGCGACCCGGGGCAGGCCCTGGGGACCCGGCCACTTGCAGGATTTGCAGTCGGTGGAGGAGATGAGTGGCTGCTTCCCGTTGTACCTTTTTGTGAGGTTCTTGGCACTGCAGGAACTTCTGGTGTCCAGGTTTTAAAAACATGCCTTCATCTCGGGGGGCACCAAGTAACGGTTCCGTCGGAGCCCTTTGCCCACCCGTTCTGATGGTGCCCCTGCCAGCAGAAGGCAGGATGGGTGGATAAGTGTGGACTGCTTTCCCCTTCAATAAGTGATGAGCCTAACGAAGCAGAAGCTGTGCCGTTGTGTGGAGGGATATAGCTGAACTCTCGCCCTGGTCCAAGACCTCTCTTTATGCTCTTCCTCCTTCCACATCAGCACATCAGGTGGTCTTAGAGCTGCGTTTCAGAAACCGGGTTGGAACCGGGTTTAGGATTCTTATTTGTGCCTCTTCTCTCTTTTCCAGGCGTGTTTTCTTGGCTTTGAAGTTGCCATGAAGTTTCTTAACTGGGTGGCGCCAGGTCTGTGAAGACCCAGAGGCCTTTGGAAAGTGGCGAGAAGGAAGCGAGCACACGTCTGCCTCAGAGGAATAAAAGAATGATCACTTGACGTTTCAGGAATAATTTTTTGCCTAATACCTGTTTGCCTTCCTCACGTTCTTCAGGCGGTGCTGCATGCCGGTCAGCATAGCCAGGCTGTAGCTCTGAAGCTGAGCTGCCGAGGAGTTAGAGGCCGTACACCACGGTACGCAGCAGCCGTGCTGCCGAGACAGCCGCCACGCCCGCGCGACCTCCAGTGCTTCCTCGTGGAAGAAGGGGACACTTCTTAACATGTAATCCTTTGTTTACTGAAGAAACACGTAGCCATCCATGCTGAAAAACTTCCTTAACGTGTGCCGACCTCCTGGGGCACCCCCTAGGAGCCGCACGGGCGAGCTGTATGCCAGCTTTCCCGCTCTGCCGTTCTTCCGTGATGGCTCTCCATGGTGGCGCTGCGTTTAATCTCACGCTCACGGAATGCGGCGAACGCCCGACCGGGGGAGGCCAGAGCTGCCTTCCGGCGGGCTGAGGGCTGTAAGGTACCGGATCGTGCACGCTGATCTTTCCTGTGGAACTAGGAGGGAAAACGGATTACGTGGAACGTTTGTCCCGGGCTTTGCTGAGGCACCCGCGGGGAAACGTGTTTGATCCCTGGAAATCCTTTCTGTCCCGCTGAAGATGCCCCAGGCGCCATCCCGGTTCATGGCAACCCATGACACGTTTGTATCCATGCTGTGTCCTGGGATTCGATCCCTGAGGAAATGTAGCAGCACTCGCGGGAACTCGGTTTCTCTGACCCTGGGGGATGCCTGACGGGGACTCTGCAGTCCTGTCTGACTTTGTTCTTGCTCTGTTCCTTGGTTTTCTCTTGGTAATACTAACTGTGATCATGTCTGGGAAGTGGCTGATGTCGGTTGGGTTTGGGGCGTGTGACTGGAGCTCAATAAAGCTAGCTGCTGCTTGGCACGACATGCGCTTCCTTTGCCTCTGGCACGGTGAGCGTTGCGGCAGGTCTCCGCTTCTCCGCTGTGGTGGGGTTGGGAACCGTCGTGCTGCTGCCTGTAACCGTTACCCCCTCGCCTTTGGCTGACGCGGGCCGTGGCGGCGAATCCTCGCTTGTGTGTTTGTCGTACAGGTCCCGTGGGGTTCTGCTTCAGCTGCAAAGCCAGACACTAACTTGCCACAAGCAAGATGTGTTACTGTTTTCCAGGGAAAGGCGTGGGCACCGGTGCCGGGGAGCTTAGGGAAGGCATTGTCCTGTTGCCCCACAGGGAAGGAGTCAGGGTCTGCCCTTGGTCTGCACCGCAGCGACAGTCTTCACCGTGGCGTTCCGCGGGCAGGGTCAGCCCTGAAATCCCTCCCCCCCGCCCTGCTGCAGGAGCCCTGCATCCTGCTTCCCAGTTCTTTGGAAAGGCCAGAAGGCAACCGGCTTCCCCAGAGTCCACCCATGGTGCTTTGCAGGGAGGGGGTGTGAGAGCCGTGGGG